ACAAAGGCAGCAGTCTTTGTAGACAGAACAGAGAGAGCTTCCTCTGCTCCCCTCAGTTTGAACAAACCATGAGATGGATGCTACAATTGCTCTGTTTTGAACAAATGGAGCAGATTCTGAAGAAGGTGAGAGAGATTTCTGATCCTACTCTGGGAGGATATAAAATAAAAGTGTTGCAAGCCTTGTCACAGGCAAAAGTAAGGAGAGGGAAGAAACAGAGTGAAATTCCAGCATTTCTCAGAGAAGCAAATGTAAAAGACATATGGGGTTTTCCTTTTAAACGTCTCTTTACACATCAAGAACAGTAGGAGAAAAAAGGTCCTAAAGTCATTGAGAAACAACTTAATGGAAAATATCCTGGAATTTCAGCCTCAGACTGACATAGGCAGTGAGAAGCAGCTGAATGTACTACTGTAATACTGTAATTGTTTTCCAACTATTTAAATTGGTCTAATAAAAGATATCAGATTCACCCAAAAAACCTTGTCTGCCTACGTCCTTAGACCAACATGGCTACACCCCTACTGTAATACTGAATGGCAAACTGTTAAGCCCTGGGGAGGAAGATACTGAAGTACCAGGACAAAAAGTCTGGAAGAAGTCACAAAACTAGTCCTATTCAAGAAAGTTTGAGTGGGACTGAGTAATAGTATGGAAGGGGGAATATTACTGGGGGATATTACCAGGGAGTGGAGGGGAGAAGATAAAACCGCAGTGTCGAGAACTGAAATAATTAGAAAAATGGGGCTCTAGGCAGGAAGACAACTGGGGTTAAGTGATCCCAGCTAGGTGACTGCCCAGTCTCCTCTTGACTGCACCAATTCTGGAGGGAGTTTATTCCACAGTCTGGACACCCTGACTGTGAAGGAGTTTTTCCTGGTAGTAAGCCTGAAGCGGCCTTCCAGGAGTTTTTATCCATTGGTCCTGGTCTTCCCCAGGGGTGCCCTCGTGAACAGTTGTTCACTGAGCTCCTGATGCACTCCTCTGATATAACGGTAAGCCACTATCAAGTCCCCTCTCAACCTTCTCTTCTTTAGGCTAGAGGCCCAGGTCCCTCAGCCTTTTCTGGTATGGCTTGCCTTGCAAGTCCCCGATTGTATAGGTGGCTCTTTTCTGGACCCTCTCAAGTTTTTCCACATCCTTGCTGAAATGCGGTGCCCAGAACTGGACCAGCGAGCTTTTCACTCCTCCATCCAAATCTTTGATAATAATGTTGAAAAACACTGGTCCAAACACAGACCCCTGAGGGACACCACTGGCCACTTCACACCAGGACGACACAGATCTGTTCATGAGAACTCTCTAGGTCCTACCCTGGAGCCAATTTCCCACCCACTGAACTGTCTAGCAGCTGAGCCCACAATCTTCCAGTTTTCTCACAAGGATATTGTGGGATACTAGATCAAAAGCTTTTTGGAAGTCTAGGTATATAATGTCTATCTTGTCTCCCATGTCCAGGTGGCGAGAGACCTGGGCGTAAAAGGAGATGAGATTGGTAAGACAAGACCTACCCACAATAAATGTCATTCAGAATCTTACATTCTGTGAGCATATTGCACATAGATTCTTTAATGAGCTTTTCCAGGATTTTCCCTGGCATAGAGGTTAGGCTGATTGGCCTATAGTTGCCTGGGGCCCTCCCTCTTCCCCTTCTTGAAGATGGGCACAATGTTGGCCCTCTTCCAATCCTCAGGGATCTCCCCCGTGCTCCACGAATTCTGAAAGAGCTTTGCCAGGGGTTCTGCAGGGACCTCAGCCAACTCCTTCAGCACTCTCGGATGGAATTCATCCGGTCCCGCTGACTTATAAATGTCTAGCTTTTCTAGTTGGTATTGCACCTGTTCAGCATCTGCAGTGGGGGGGCTGTCATTCCCGGCATGCCCCCTATGAGCCTTATCTCGCTTGACTTTCCCCTTAGTCTGGTGAAATACTGAAGCAGTGGGCATTCAGGAGTTCAGTTTTTTCCTGAATGTCAGTTACCAGCTGCCCCGAGGCGATAAGCAGGGGCCCCACACTTCCATTTGTTTTCCTTCCGCGGCCTACGTACCTAAAGAAAGACTTCTTATTGTCCTTGACTCCCGTGACTAACCTAAACTCAGTCACTGCATTGGCCTTCCTGACCATTTCCCTACGTGGGCCACTATTCTATAGTTCTCCTCGAGGACTGTCCCTAGCTTCCACTGTGTGTACACCTCTTTTTTCTTTTTTAAGAGGACTGCAATGTTCCTATTAAGCCAGGAGGGCTTGCCAGCCCTTCTGCTACCTTTCCTCTTCATGGGAATAGTGTTCTTTTGTGCTTCAAGGATCATATCCTTGGGGAACAACCACTCTCCATGCACCCCATTTGCCTTCCATCCCTGCCTCCCCTACTGAGCCTATTGAAGTCAGCATTTTTGAAGCCCAGTACTTCAATCCTGCTGGTTGATTTGTCAACCTTGCAGCAGACAGTGAACCTGATAATTTCATGGTTGCTGTCGCCCAGGTTCCCCTTCAAGCCACACACCTGATCATCTCCCTTGGCCAAGACCAAGTCTAGGAAAGCGTTATCTCTGGTTGGCCCTTGCACTTCCTGGGTCAGGAAGAGCTCCTCAATCACAGTCGGGAAACTGTGTGAATGACCTGACCTAGCCAAGTGTTCCTCCATATCTATGTCTGGGTAATTGAAGTCACCCATGACAACCAATTCCCTTGCATGCATGGCCTCTACTAGTTCTCGAGACAACTCCAAATCCAGCTCCTGTCCTTGGTTCGGTAACCTGTAGTAAATGCCTACAGTTAGGTTTCTCTCACCTCATCCCATCCCCATCCCCCCACCATAGCTTGACCCAGAGGGTTTCAAGCTGCTTATCTGTCAGCCTCCAGACGTGTACTGCTCTCTCACATAGAGAGCTACCCCTCTGCCTTTTCTCCCTACTCTGTCCCTTCTGTGCAGGGTGTAGCCCCCTCTGGCTACACTCCAATCATGCAAGGAGTCCCACCAGGTCTGAGATGGAAAGGAATATAGAATCCCTCCATAGCCGAGTAGCAAAGTCCTTCCTGGGAGGTTCCTGAGTCCCACCCAAGGAGAGTCATGGCACTATATTATAGTTTGTTGGATACTGGAGGAAGCTGTCCAGAGCCATATTTCAGACCTCCCTGCAGACTCTTCCCATGTTACATTATATTTATACCTGTGCAAGGTCCCTTCCAGCCCCTTAACAATCTATGAATCTATGAGGGTTAGTGTGAATATCTGCATTTTAGACGAGGGGGAACGGGTGCATAAATAAGGATAATTTCAGGATCCAAAAGGGAGGGAAATTGGACTAGGAAATGAGGGGGAGTGTGGGCTTCAGTAAATAAAGTTAATTTTAGGGTGAGAATGTATCAGAGAATACACAGGAATATCAACAGTATCGCAGATAGATTGAGACAGACCAAACATAATCTAGATATGCTTTACTTTTTATATATATTATAAAGAGGTGAAGGCACTTTTAGTTAATACCTGTTCGTCAGCCAGTAAACCAGTCTCTAGCTAGACTGTTTAATGTTAACATATATAAGCAGTATACTGATAGTACAGATGATAACTTATAAGAATTGTTGTATACCATTTCCTTTATAATTGTACAGTAACTTGAACCTCATGCAGTCCTTGTGTATTACTCCAGTGTTGGAGTTTTGTTCCTATATTTGTCTGAAAAGAAAAAAGAAAGTGTGGGATTCTTTAACAGAATGCTTTCTAAGAGGCTCAAGATACTTGCAACCTGTAATGGTTACTAAGAAGGTATTTGGAGATAACTTATACAAAAGAGAAGGTTAACTTACTATACAGTGTTGGGGAGCCTGGCTAGCAGGCAGAACCCAGAATTAACAGCTGAACTCTGCATTCCAGGCTTAGCTTTGCTACTCACTTGCTTTGTGACCTGGTATGGATCACTTAACTTTTCCATAATTTTGTTATCTCACCAGACAAGTATTTGGGATAACTATTTACCAACCTTCTGGGGGTGTTGGGAAGTTGAATCAATCTCTGAGATCCTCTGAGGAAAGGAACTATAGAAATCTATGATGATGTACCACAAAACATACATTTATGCTTCACGGCTGCACTTCATGTTATGCAGTGTGCTATTTACTCAGAACAAGTTAATTTCATACATAAAAAGTTACTGGTTAAATGTAACATAAGGTCTTCTGAAATCACGCGTTTGTATGTATTTGTACAGTGCCCTGGGTAAAAATGCCCTAATCTTGATTGGGTCCTATAGGCATTGCTGTAGTTCAAATAATGTAAATCTGTTAATCTGTTTCACATGTGCTCTATTAAATAGCTCACAAGCAGCTCATATCGGACAATAACAAATAGGCACCTGTATATACCTAGATATACTGTTTAGTCAGAAAAGCTATGCAGAAGACAAGACTGAACAGAACAGCTCTGCATAAAACCAGGCATCCGTATAAGAGAAGAAAAATATCACCAAAAGCTGCAAGATTATTAGTATTATTATACATAAAGAGTAGTCAAGGAATCTGTTACAAGAGTAACAGACACATTATTCAAGGGTCTTAAAAGACAAACCATCAGCAGCAGTGGAGAGAGAAAAGGCTTCTAAAGGAACAGAGTAGCATTTCAAACATTAAATTGTAAGGGGACTGAAGCTGTAAGAAATATGTTGGATTTTCTGTATTATTTATTATTTGAGATTGCATTTCCCCCAAATACCTACATTCTGTATTGTTCATGTGAAACTCAAATGTCCATCAAATACTTCAAGGCTTTTCAAGGATAGAGGGGGGCAGTGTCTGGCCAGCCCTTGGGTGAAGTGAGATGGGATGGGCCTCAGGAAGTCTGCTTACCCATACAGCCACAGTGGATTGAAGAGGAGTTTTGATGGCTGAGCAATGTAGAGAAACTTAGTATAGGAATATTGGAGAATTCAGTGAGGGACACTTTTCATGAGGCTCAAGAAGGTCAGACCCAAAGTTGATTATTGTTTTTATTTGTATCATAGTTAAACTTAGAAGTGCCAGGCATTGTGCTGGGTGCTGTATGAACACAGAACAAGACACAGGCCCTGCCCTGAAAAAAAAGGTAAGACTTTGTATGTCTATATCTGATGTAGCTGTATCACTAGAGTCTACCAGCAAACCTTTCAAGCAAACACTTGGCTGGGATGACTTCTGCAAGATTGATCTTGTCTTGAGCATGGGGTTGGACTAGATGACCTCCTGAGATCCTTTCCAGCTCTCATATTCTGTGATTCTAAGTGTAGACAGCTTACACCAGCAAAAAAGTTCTTTGCTAGTGTAATTCGTATCAGTTTCCTGAGGAGAATAAGCTCTAGTTACTTGTATAAGCTGTGTCTACATTCAGATTTTTGCTGCCAGGACTGCCAGCAATAAATCATACTTGTAAATGACATGGCTATGCTGTCAAAGCATTTATGTATAGACAAGACAAGTAGTACAGCACAGTAAATCAGCAGTATGTGCAGGTGGAAGTGGGAAGTTCATGTTTTAGAGAAATGCTGACAGAAATGAGACTTCCAAAAACTTCTGCCCTGCGACACTGCACAAATGGCCCATTCCTGGTGGCCAAAGAGGGTCAGGTCAAGCAGATCAGTACAGCTGTTCCTGTTCCACACAAGGAGTGAACACATTATGAGGACACTTGTAGAATTTATTATAACATGGAGGAAGATTGGGATGAGGTAATAGGGTTTAGGGCTCTATTTCTGCCTCTCCTGAGCAGAGATTCTAGTCGAAAATGTTCCAGTTGCCCAAGAAGGGTTTGAGACACTTTGAAGGAGTAAGTCTCTTGGAATGTATGGTAGGGCTATCTCAATCTTTCTACATAATCTTGGCTGTGTGACAGGTTTTCCACCTACAACATTGGGGTAATGAGACCTCCCAGTCATACTGATTTGTTGTGAGATTTGATTTGGTCATGTTTCTAAGAGATCTGAGAGCCTATAATGAAAGGTGATGTTGAAACCCAACATAGTAATGTAGTATGTTATATTGTAAAAAAGAGCAGTCTGCAGAGTTGTTTTAATTGTTTCCAAATGTAAAAGTTTAAACATTTAAAGTGTATTTAACCAGGTAACCCATAGCCCATTGGTATCAATTACTTGTTAAGAGCTGAAACTGACATTTAGTAAGTATGTTAATTGATAATCCTACTAACCTACTACAGGTATCTTCTTAAGTGCCAATTATCTGCCTCAATATTTCTGACAATTTGAGTTTGTTAGTAAGAATCTAATTAAACTAGTTTATTGCTGATGGAATTACATGGAGTAGATTTCTCTCTCACATACTTATTAGACCTCAATAAGTGATCCTTAGCAGTCTGTTGCTATTCAATTAACAAGTAATAACTTCCTTAATGAACCTAATTGAAATGCTTGAGTTAGGCACCTAAAAGCAAGTGCTTTACTTTCGAGTACTTTTTAGTGTGCTAGTCTTGTTTACTTAACAAGAGCAGAATGAGGATAAGCCACTGAGGAAAAGACTGATACCATGGTGAGAGCTCTGTCTTGGTAAATCCCTGCCTAACCTGATCGGAAATCGTTTGTCTGGTGATTTCTATTCTATTTGAATATATGTGGAATAAAGCAGGGTATTTGTCTCTGAGGATTAAAGCCATGGAGGAGATTCTGCAGCATGAAATTCTGCTTCCAGGGCATTAGCTCTGCCTCTTGCAGTGGATGTAAAAACACTTGGTGCTCCATTGGGAACTGTATAGTTAAATCTCTGTGCAGTGCTGTGGATCTTCTAATGTTCACTTACTGATATAGTTTGAGTCCCTTCAATAGTCACTCCTGCTTTGTGGTTCTGCATATTTGGCTTAAGTGACTGATAGAAATGTGATGGCAGATATGTTTAATGATTTAAACTCACCATTGCAATTATAGAAAAAAGTGCACATAACCAGGAGTTTTTATAGTGTTTCATGTAAATTTGCTGGATTTAATATACTAGTGTCTTACTGAGATTTGCATTAAATCACCATAACTTCAATCTCAGCCCACAAGAATAGCCTCAGACTTTATATATATAGACTGAAATCTGTCTTGAGTGACCACGCATGAGACCAATGCAAATTGGTTGCTTATCTGAGTAGATTTCTAATCAGTTTAGAAAAGAACTGTATGCAATATGTTTGAAGATATTTTGGTATGGTCCTTAGATCAGAAGCTTCCATAATAAGGACAGTCTCTTGCATAGGTTTTATAATACATAAAACAAGAGACATTTTGGGTGGGAAGAGTGAGTAATGGTTTAGAAACTGTTTTGGGGATCAGAACTAAACTCTGCTTTGTCCTGCAGATGGCATTTGCAGGTGATTGGTCTGTGGGGGCAGATCCCAGTAGGTACTTGAGGGGGAGGGAATTAGCAATTTATTCTATTGGGGAAAATGACTGTATTGGTTGTGTTCTCTCATAATTTTTAGTTGATGGATTTAATGCCACAATAATATATTTGTTACCAACATATTAATGAGTCCTTTCTACTCATTACATCAAAGGTATCTAATGAACCCTTTGCAGCCATACTGATTATTGGGGCAAAACATACCTACTTCTTGAGAAAGATTAAGACATTACACATGTCAAATATTTTGGCTTTAGTGAACTTCAATTTATATTCCAAAGTTAAAAAATTGTGTAAAATTAATGGCACAAATTTACAAAATTAAGAAAAAAACAAACCCAAACAAATCAGAATTCAGGCTGTTCTTCTTAGTGCTAATGCTGGCATCATCCCTGGATTTGGGGAAAAAAGCTGAACAGACTTATTTGCAGATTTGCTGTTTGTTTGCAGAACAAAACAAACCACAATAACAAAACACGTCCCAAAACAAAGTGCAATTGTGAACAGTGAAAACTTCAAAGAAAAATGCAGGACTTGGTGGTTCAAAACCATCCTTTATTGCTTTGGATGGGCTCCTATAACATTTTTAGGATAGGGAAGGCTCAATTCACTGTCCTCTTCCTATATGTTAATTGGTGTGGTGCAGTTACTTCAAATTGATTGAGAGATTGTATGATCAAGCCAAGGATAAATGGGCCCATTTATCTTGTTGAATGGATGCATTTTCAAGACATAGATGCCTAACCTGCATTAAGTTACATTGCCTTTCCAAATTTTGTTACAACAGCTAGGTACAGTGTGTACCTGTCCATTCCAGCACATTTTCCTGCAGTGCTTCAGTCCTGTTTTGGAGAGTCTACTTCTAAGGGCTGAGAAGGGGATGAAGGGTAAAAAGACCAAGTAACAATTCAGGGTCCAGCATTTATTGATGGGTGGCACAGTGCCACCATAGTACCTGCTTTCATTGGTGGATAAGTTATATTGCACTGACAATGGAGCATTTGCTCTGGGGTAGATTTCCTAGACATTAGGGCTGGAAGGAATCTCAGAAGATCATCGAGTCCAGCCCCCTGCCCGAAGGGCAGGAAGTCAGCTGGGGTCATAGGATCCCAGCAAAATAAACATCCAATTTACTGTTGAAGGTGTTCAATGTAGGTGCTTGAACCACCTCTGATGGCAGGCTATTCCAGACCTGGGGGCTCAGACAGTAAAGAAATTCTTCCTTATGTCCAGCCTGAAATGGTCTTGCAGTAGTTTATAACCGTTTGACCTCGTCATCCCTTGGGGTAATCTGGTGAACAAACGTTCCCCCAGATACTGATGGTCACCGCTGATAAATTTATAGGTGGCCATCAGATCGCCCCTGAGCCTGCGCGTTTCCAGGCTTAACAGCTCTATAGCTCTCAGCCTGTCATTGTAAGGTCTGTTTTCCCGACCGCTGATCATGCACATGGCTCTTTTCTGGACTCTCTCAAACTTCTCCACGTCCTTTTTGAATTGTGGGGCCCAAAATTGGATGTAGTACTCCAGCTGCAGCCTCACCAAAGCCGAGTACAACGGGAGAATGATGTCCCAGGATTTGCTTGAGAAGCATTTATGGATGCAAGCCAGCGTTTTGGTCGCTTTACTAGCTGCAGCATTACATTGCAGGCTCGTGTTCATCTTGGGGTCAATGACGACTCCCCAAGTCTCTTTCTTCTGTAGTACTAGCCAGTGTAGCACTGCTGGGCCTACAAGCATGCAGCAGGTTTTTCCTCCCAAGGTGGAGAACCTTGCATTTTTCTGTGTTAAACACCATCAGGTTCTCATCTGCCCATTTGTTGAGCCTGTCCAGGTCAGCCTAGATCGCCCTCCTGTCTTCAGGTGTGGATGCTTTGCCCCAAAGTTTGGTGTCATCGGTGAACTTGGCCAGTCCGCTTCTGACTCCAATGTCCACATCATTAATGAAGATGTTGAACAATATGGGTCCAAGGACAGAGCCTTGGGGGTCCCCACTGGTCACAGGGCACCATGACAATTTACTTCTGTCAACCACCACCCTCTAGAGATAATGCACACATCCACACCTTTGGTAACTTGTTTGTATAGCCAGACCTATAGAAAAAGCCAAGCGGAGGAGCAGGCATGGTGGGGCTGGACTTTGTTTCTTGTTGTTCCTTTGTTGGTCAATGAAGTGAAACCCCAGGAGAAGGGTTAGTTTTGAACCTAGACTGGATCTAGGTTAGTTTAGAGCAGGCAGGAAAGTCTACATCAAATCTAGTAATATGCTCACAGGTGGATTAAGGTGTACTGGGGCCCTGGACAGACACAAAATTGGAGACCCCCTTCCCCCATGGGAGCTGGGTTGCAGGGGGGAGAAAGGGGCCCCTTCCCATCTTAGAACTAGTGGGGAAGGCTGGGTGGACTTTGCCGGGCTGGGGGGGTACATGACCGCCTCTTCTCCCTGCTCCCTGCCCCTGCTACAGCCAAACGTACACACAGAAATAGGTACACACACTGTACTCTCACTCGCTGCACGTGGACACAGATACAAACTCACTCTCCCTGCCATGAATAGATACTGACGGATGGACAGACAGACACTTTCCCCTCACAGGACCTCCCCTCTCCCCCACTTTCGATCACACAGAGGCAGCCCTTCCTCACCCTGCCCCTGCCATGAGCTCAGTCTAGCTCACTGCCCAGCCCCTCTACACTTACCTGCAGGGAGCTGCTGCCCAGCTGTCCCATGCAGCCACATGGATGCAAACAGCAGGGCTTTGCTGGACCAGGCCGGGAGCGCCATGCCATGCTGTCTCTCTGCAGGTGGGCAGTGGCACTGGGAGGGGTGGCTGCAGAGGCGCTAGGATGAACTTTGGGGGACTCTAGCCCCCAAGGCCCTCCCAGTGCTGCTGCCCGCAAAGGCATGGTGTGATGCGGCGCTCCTGGCCTGGTCCTGCCCCAACTGCACCCCCCACCCCCCGCCAGGTGGGCGCATGGATCTTCTGGCCCAGCTCGGTCCCCTTGCCCCCAGGGAGCAAATGCAAAAGCCGCAGTTTTAAATTCGGTGTTATTTTTTTCTCCCTCGTGGGAGACAAAAACAGGCACCGAGTTTAAAACTGCAGCTTTCATGTCCCTGGTGATGAGGATCCCGGGGCCCTGAATTAGGAGAGGCCCCTGGGTTTATGCCCACCTGGCCCGTCCATTAATCTGCCTATGAATATGCTAGATTTAGATAGCAACTGCTGACCTTGTTAGCTGTGTAGCATTTGCTGCAAGATTTCTTTAGAAGCCAACATCATGAAGCTGTCTACTCTGTCAGCCAAGTTCAGATCAAACCACATTTTTCCTCCTCAAAATCTGTTGAATGGCTTTTAAGTGGTTATAATCTAAACTGACAAAAAGTATATTTTTGGCTTTGTGGCCTCCAGTACTCCCTTTGACTCCCCAGGATTGCGACTGTTCACTGCTAAGGACTTTTGAGGTGTACTCTGTGCCTCTGTGTTTACAAAATTCCCAGCCCCATCAAAGGGAATTATTTATTTCTATGGAAGAGAAAATCTCCCTTTTGACAAAATAGTACACTAATGCAAGGAACATGAAGTAAATTGTTATAATGATCAAGCATATGCAATAAGTTGTTAGAATATGGAACAGATTCGACATATACTAAAATGTTGTGTTCATGATCTTTCCAAACCAGCAGCATCAATTATGGAGAAACTCTGAAACAGCATGTGGCTTCTTCACAGCTTGTACTTTTGCATAACCTAGCTTCTGATCATGATGTCACTTTAGATGAAGGGCTTGCATAGAGCACGATAAATTGTATGTTAAGGTTCACTTATGTCCTCTAGAAGCTGAGCAATCAAGGTCTATTAGAGATGCACCATTTTTGCATGTTAAAGAGAAATACTGTTTATTATGATAAAAGTTTCCCAGTTTGTTTCCCAGTTTACCTCAGCCTGGGGAACAAGATTCAAAGTCAGTCCTAAGGACTGAAGCTTTTATGAAAAGACAACTATTCAGTGCAAAAGATCTCTTTAAAAATCAATAATGGTAAATGTTTACCCTTTCTTTCAATTAAAGTTCACAAAATTAAAAGCTACCATGTTTATATTCAAAACTATCATATAGCAAGGAGGCTTTGTTTAGCAAAAAATAATTCTGAAACGCCGCTGATTTTTTTCAGTGTTGTGAACAGTGGTGCTTATGTATCAAAACCTAATCCTGTTGTTTGAGTTTTAATGGGTGGCATTGAAACCCCTGTGAAATATTGTACCAATCACACATACACACTTACCTTTATGTAAGTTCACATCGGACTATATATGCACAATTTTTCCCCCACTGGCCCTTTACTAATGAATTTAAATCATGCACACTTACAGCTCTATCGTGTGGTGCAGTTCTGACATCAGGGCCTCTCAAAAAGCAGCGCTAAGCAAGCCTCTCCACCTGAGTCCCAGCACTAGCTGAGACTTGCTGAGACACTAAAAAGAGTAGACTAATCACACAATTGAATTGTCCTCCTCCTCCGCCAGCCCAAATGTCCTAATCCAGAGCATTGCCAGTGCACTCTTGCGTTAGCCTACTGCAGCCTAGATTGCGAAAGCCCAGCAGGACAAATTATGCTGAGGGGAAACCAGCACAGGTTCGTAGCAGGCAGATCGTGCCTGACTAATCTAGTCTCTTTTTATGACCAGGCTACAAAACGCCTGGACACAGGAGTAGGGGTTGATGTCGTATACTTAGACTTCAGGAAGGCCTTCGATACGGTATCCCACCCCATACTGGTGAACAAGTTAAGAGGCTGTGACTTGGATGACTACACAGTCCGGTGGGTGGCGAATTGGCTAGAGGGTCGCACCCAGAGAGTCGTGGTAGATGGGTTGGTTTCGATCTGGAAGGGTGTGGGCAGTGGGGTCCCACAGGGCTCGGTCCTTGGACCGATACTCTTTAATGTCTTCATCAGTGACTTGGACGAGGGAGTGAAATGTACTCTGTCCAAGTTTGCAGATGACACAAAGCTATGGGGAGAAGTGGACACGCCGGAGGGCAGGGAA